GAAGTGTAAGGTGTGCATTGCTGAGGTCATGCTGGAGGATTTTGCGGTCTGCCTTCAGCCATTTGCAGCTAAGGAGAAGGTGTTCTGGTGTCTGCTTGGCGCCACAGCTACAGAGAGGACTGTCTGCTTTGCCTATCCGGAAAAGGTATGCTTTGTTGTATCTATGGCCAATCTTCAACTGGTAGTGAACCGTTGAGTGGAGCAAGTTGCCCATTTTTGCTATCCTTGTGGAAAGCAGAACAACCTCCTTGCAGAGCGCCTGCATGTAGTAGAGCACGAGAGTGCGGAGGGAAGAGCGCGGATTGCGTGGGGAGAGGGCGGAGGAGAGGGAGGCTGGATTCATAAAACAAGGTACATTGCGCAGTGCGCAATGTACAAGTAGTTGTACTGTATGCAGATGTATTGCAATCGCGATTGACTATGTATGATACGTGATATATGTAATGATCGTATGTGTGTTTTTAGTCCATTGTGTGAGTGGATTGATGGATGGACGTGTGTGTCCCTATATGAGTGAGTCTTTGTCCAAAGATAAATGAGAGTGATCCTATGCTGACTCACACACGCTGCTTGCGCGCCACAGCCATATCCTTGCATACACCCTGTGCAACGGCACAGTAGAAGGCACTGGAAATCTCCCTCCTGGTTCCTAAGGGAACACCTAGCTTCTTGCAGATCTTCTACTTGTACTTGGCAGCATAGGTGTTGAGGTTCTTGTGGATGGCTAGGGGGGTGTAGTTGCTGAGAGTCTGCTGCCACTTCTTAGTGGCCAGGTTCTTAATCTTGATGCCAGTCATAGCAAGGCTAGTAGTGTTGGAGGATGGCCTCTTCAAGGCTGCTCTCTTGGCTAGGCTGTCTGCTCTCTCATTGCCTGCTACATCCTTGTGTCCTAGAACCCAGTGAATAGAAATGCTGGCACCCTTCCTGTTTACCTGGTTAGCTGCTTTGATGCACCGGAGTAGCCATGCCTGTCCTGGTTTGTCTGAGGGGGTGTAGAGTCTGTAAATTGCAGCCTGGTTGTCTGCATGTACTTGGATTTCCTAGGAGGGTGTGGCCACAGTGGCTGCATATTCAAATCCTTGGGTAATGCCTTCTAGCTCCCCATTGTAGACAATCTGGCCCATGCCTATGTTGAGGGTATCCTAGGGTACCTCCCTTGCACCCTTTGCATAGTCAAAGGCAGCTAGGCCAACTCTAATTCCTCTGCCTTCTTCAACAGAAGAGGCATCTGAATAGATAGCCAGCAGGGTGTTGTGAGGGTCCGTCCAACTGGAGGGTACAACCAAAGCTAGAAGGCTAGATGTATGGTACGTAGTTGGGGGATGCAAGGTTGGTTCTCTGGAATGAACGGGATTAGGATCAAAGGGGTGATACATAGACAGCAGAGGAGGCTCTCTGTCAAGCGTATCAAAGAGGAGGGATGAAACAAAGACAGTAGAGGGGGCTCTCTGTCAAGCGTATCAAAGAGGAGAGATAACATGAGTGCAGTAGAAGGGGCTCTCTGCAAAGCGTATTGAAGATAGAACAGTAGTATTGCTTTCACTTGATG